GTGGGTGGATGGATGGATGCAAGATGGATATGATGCATGGGCGCAGAATAGAGAGAACAAAGAAAACGTCTGGTGCTAAGCACAGTGTGTTGGGCAGCTTGCCATTGGTCTCACCTCTGGACTTCCCCTTCTAGTGTTGCTTAGATCCTAGTCCTGCTCCAGAGGGTCAGTTTAGTCCAAAGTAGTTCTGGCTGATTTTCCCACTTCAATCCATGCACTGGACTCATGAGGGTGCGTTTAAGTGGTTCAGACCATTCCCAGGTAGATGAGAGGAGTGGTGGCTGCTAGTGTGAACCTAGGACCCTACGTTGAGCCCTGAGGCAGGAGGAAGAGGACTGTGTTCCTTCTGGCCACAGCAGCTCTCTGGCTTAGTGTCTGGGCCAAGAGTCCACAGTTGCTATGGCCTTCACGGACCTCAGCAGGGAAGGCAAAACAATGTCAAGTAATAAACAAGGGACTCTTGCCCAGCCTGCGTGGCTCAGAGGTTGAGCATCGTTCTATGATCCAGGAGATCATGACTCGATTCCCAGTCAGGGCACATGACCGGGTGCAGACTCAATACACAGCAGGGGGTGTGCAGAAGGGAGCTGATCAATGACTTTCTCATCACTGATGTTTTCTATCTCTCCCTCTCCCTTCCTCTCTCTGGAATCAGTAAAATAATAATAATAATGATAAAATAAAAATAAAAATAATAAAGTAAAATAATAAAATAAAATTAAAAAAACACAAAGGACTCTGGAACCCTTCCCAGATTTTCCCAATAGCTTATTTCTTTATTGTTTAAGAGACTTATCATCCCCAACAGTTTAATTTTTTTAAATAAACATTATTCTGCATTTGGATTATTGAGCAGTTACTTAATATTGTGCTATATCATGGGAATTTAGAGGACCAGACCTTAAAAACCTTGACAGTGGCCTGAATGTCTGGACTTCCATTTCCTTCACTGTCCCAGAGCCATGAGGAGCCTGAGGAATGAATCTTCTCTTGCCTTCTAACTGTGGATTGTTTATCCTCAGATCCTGCAAGGCCTCGTCGATGTCCGCATCCCTCATAACAACTTCTACCGAAAGCGTGAGTAGTGGTGCTTTAAGCTTTGACCTGTGACAAGTGAAGCTTTATGGGTGGCTGGCTTTAAGTTCTTACATTCAGAGTCTGTGTTCTTGAGCCCCTGAGAGAGGAAGTGTGGCTTGAACTCAATGACTGTTCTATGCTTTATGGTGGTGCCCATGGGCACAGCTCAGCTTTCGCTTACTTTGCTTTCCTTTTCTAAAAAGTGTTTTTGGAAATCGTCAATGAGAAGTCGAGATACACCCTCCATCAGAACATGGACAAGATCAAGGCCCCCACACAGATCATCTGGGGGAAACAGGACCAGGTATGTAGCATGTCCCTGGGGCCACATGTGCCAGTTACACCAGCCTCTGAGGAAAAGCAGCTAGCCGTTTATAAAGTCAGCCTGGCCCTAGCCAGCTTCGCTCAGTGGTTGGAGCATTGGCCTGCGGACCAAAGGGTCCTGGGTTCGATTCCGGCCAAGGGCACGTACCTCAGTTGCAGGTTCGGCCCCAGTCAGGACTCAAGCAGGAGGCAGCCAATCGATGTGTCTCTCTCATATTGATGTTTCTTTCTCTCTCACTCTCTTCCTTCCACTGTCCCTGAAAAAGCAATGGAAAAATATCCTCAGGTGAGGAAAATAAATAAATAAATAAAGTCAGCCTAGCTGGCTGATTTCTGACACCAGAACAAGGTGGGACATACCAGGTCAGGTGCCAGTATTCATGGCAGCATCTTACTGTGAGTTGAGAGCAAAAACATTGGTCTTTTAAAATGAAAGACAATTATAAATCATTTTTACAAATTATTTTTATCAAAGCCATATAGTCCCATAGTTCAAAAAACTTCAGAGGCTACAAAAAAGTTTAAAATGAAAATCCCAGATCCCAATTTCTATTTCCTTGAGGCAACACATACTGTCCTGTGTATATTTGTGAAATTTTCTAAGGCAGGAATTGGCAAACATTTTCTGTAAAGGACCAGATAGTAAAATTTTCAACTTTGTGGGCCATACAATCTGTCACAACTACTCAATTCTGCTGTCGTTGTGTCAGAGTAGCCACAGACAACATGCAGACCAGTAGTGGGCAGAGTCCCAGGGGCCTTTATCGACAAAGCCAGCAACCAGTGTCTGCAGGCTCCTGGTCTCTCAGCATGCTCACATATGCACAGAGAAGTTTTATCTAAGTTTTTCAAAGATGCTATATACATATTTGAGTTTTTTAAACATGCTACATACACAGTTTTGTGCCTTCATATTTGTAAGAAATATATATCTTGGAAATCATTTCATGTCAGCCCATATGGATCTGCTCATTCAATTTTTTAAAATATTTTGAAATAATTTCTAATTTACAAAAAAATTGTAAGAATAGTACAGAGTACTCCTGTATACACTTTACCTAAATTCTTCCATTTTTACCTGCTTTATTGAGGTAGGATTTACATGCCATAAAGTTCACCTCGGTGTAGGGCTCTCTGTCACTCCCAGAAGTTTCCTCCTGACCATCTGCAGTTCATCTCTGCCCTCACCCCAGCCCCCACAACCACTGATCTGTTTTCTGTTTCTATAGTTTTGCTTTTTCTAGAATTTTTATATAATTGTTACCATATAATTTGTAATCTTTTGCATCTGACTTCTTCCACTTAAGCACATTTTTGAGGTTCACCCATGTTGCATGTATCAATAGTTCCTTTTTATTGCTCAGTGTCATTCCATGGTATCTGTTACCACATTTTATTCATTACTAGTGTTTTAACATTTGTCACGCTGGCTCTGTCATTCTCATCTATCCATTCAGAAGTATATATTTTTGGACCATTAGGAGTAGATTGCTTACATCATGTTCCTTTACCCTCAATACTTCAGGGTGTATTTACTGAGAACAAAAACATTGTCTCGCATAACCACAGTACATCATCACATTCAGGAAATTTAACATGGATGAGGTACTTTAATCTATGATCCATATTCCAAATTCACCAGTCATTTCAGTAATGTCCTACTCAGAAGCCCCCTCTTCCTCCTTCTGGCCCCTGAACCAGGATTTAATCCAGGGTCACATACCACATGGCATGTCTCTGTAGTCTCCTTTAACATGAAATGATCCCTCAGTCTGCCTTTGTCATTCATGATGCCAAGATATTTAAGAGTACAGGCCAGTTATTTTATGAAATATTCCTCAATTTGAGTTTGTTTGCTGAGCCCTCATGATTACATTCAGGTTGTATTATACTCCCTGGCTGAAATATCATGTGACTTATAAACATTACATCCTCAGACAACAGGGTGTTGTCTGATTTCTTCATTGTAGATTTACCATTTCTCCCCTTGCAACCAATAAGCAGTCTGTGGGAAGACACTTTGGGACTGTGCAGATATCCTGCGCTTCATCAAACATTCCCTCTACATTTCCATCCATGAGTGAGTCTTGCCCAAAGCAACGCTTTACGTTCTTTTTAAGAGCTGCATAGGGTTCCATTATACGGTTCTGCTGTAATGTTTTTAATTAGTGTCCTTCTGACTGTCATTTATGTCATTTCCAGCTTTTTGCTATTAAACAAACATTGGTGGGCACCATTATACATGTGTTTGTGGAGTTTGAGAGCGTATCTGAAGGGTAAATTCTTAGACGTAGAATCACTGGGTCAGAGGGCATGTGCATGTTTTAATTTTAACAGGTTTTGTCAGATGGCTCTGTGTTCATTTGCTAGGGCTGCCATAACAAAGCACCATAACCTGGGTGGCTTAAACAATAGAAATTGTCTCACAGTTCTGGAAGCTAGAAGTCTGAAGTCAAGGTGTGAGCAGATTGGTTCCTTCCGGGAGATGTGAAAGGGAGTCTGTTTCATGCCTCTCCCCCAGCTTCTGGTGGTTTTCTGGCAATCTTTGGTGTCCCTTGGCTTATAGATGTCTTTCCCAGATTTCTACCTTCATCCTCACCTGGCATTCCCCCGTTCCTGTGTATCTCTGTGTTTAAATTTCCCCTTTTTGTAAGGATGCAGGTCATGTTGGATTAGGGGCCCACTCTGCTCCAGTATCACCTCATCTTAACGAATTACATCTGCAATGACCCCATTTCCAAATAAAGTCATATTTGAAGTACTGGTGCTTAGAACTGCAGCATGTGAATTTGGGGAAGATATAATCAACCCATAATAAACCCTCCAGAGAAATACTTATACCCAGTCGCTCCTTTTGTGTTTGCAACTGATCTATAGAAATCGTATCTTACTGAAAGTTCTTCTAAAGTTTAAAGAAGGGGAGGTGGTGAGAAATGGAGCCCTTACAAGGCCATAGGCAGACAGCATTACAGTGTCTATTAAAGGGTCTGCTGGAGTTTTTGCTGTTGAATGTCGTTGAGAAAAGGATATTAGAGAAAAGCTGTCCCTGTTGAGACAGTTTCTCTAAGGACCCCAAGGTGAAAGCCACTACTGTGAGCCCTGCCGGGCCGGGAGCACATCCCAGCTGTGTCTGCTGATGACAGCAGGAAGTCAGGCTGCAGCCACACAGGCTCGCAACTGTGTGGGATGGCCCAGGAAGAAGCGGGGAAGCCAGCCCCTGCCCAGTGCGTGAGGAGGGGCGAGGGCATCCGCAGAGAGCGGCCACCTCAAGTCAGCCAGGTGTGGTGAGGGACACACAGCACAGAATGAGCATGTGGGGAGGGGAAGGGCTCGTGCTCCCTTCCGCAGCGGCCAGGACCCTGAAAGCAGCTTTGTGTGTCTGAGGGAGAGCGGAACTCAGGCTGGGCCAGCAGGGACTCATTCGCTTCAGAAGTCAGAGTCAGAACAAGGAAGGCCTTTCTTCATTCTAAAAATCCCAAAGGTGATTCTGGGTCCTCAGGGACCAACAGGGAGAGAAAGGTGAGAACCTGTCACCTGCACAGACATGGCAGAGACACTGCAGAAACTAGATCACTGGCCTTGGAGTCCGAAAGTCTAGAGTCCAGCCCTGCTTTGCCCTTTATTAGCCTGTGACCTTGAGCAAGTCACTCAGCTGCTCTAAATCAGAGGCCTCTCTTCTGCTGGGGTGATTGTGAAGCTCAAGTGAGACAACATACAGGATGGGGTATAAGTAGGCTTACGTTGTTCATATGGAAAATAATGCAATAATTAACAAATAATAATACAAGAATAAACTGTTCCGTGTACTCACAACTGTAAACCTACTTTTGCCCCACCCTGTGTATGAAGGTGATCTGGAGCCGGTTATCGAAAATAAATTATTTATTATTTATGTCCTTTGCCTCTGATAGCTTGCTTTTCTGCCCAAGGTCCAGAATTGCCTCCAGGACTCTTAAGTCCATTTGGTATTGGAAAAAGAGCCTGACATTCACTGGGCCTGCTATAAATATAACCAGATCCTATGTGTTCTATGCTCCATCCTGAAGGCAGAGGCCAAATAGCTGAGGCTTCGGGGCCCTTTATTTCATGGCCTTTTGCTTTCCAAGCTGTCTGTCTTTTTTCCTGCTCTGCCATCAACTTTTGGTGTCAGACAAGCCCTCTGCCAGCTTGAATTCAGTCTCCCTCTTCTTTGGACCCCTATAGGCCAGCCCCTGTACTGAACAATTGCAGGGGAGCTGTGTGCGTTGTTGTCTGTGTGCACAACGCCCCCTGGATTTGGGAAGTATACAACCCACACAGCTGAACTGGCAGGCCTTCCTGAGAGGACTTTTGCACACCCACTCAAGTGCTGCTCCTTTATGTTCAGTCCACTGGAGTGGGATGGCCTTGGGGAGATAAACAAGACGTATTTCTCTTTATGTCCCCTATCCCTGCCAGCACCGTGCCTGGTACAAAAGAGACCCAGCACAGAGAGAGAATGAGCGAGAAAGTGAATGAACTAGCAAAGGGACAAACCCACCAACTGCCTGCCTATACATTTAAGTCAGCTCACAGGTACCCAGTATGCACTTGACACTGTATTAGACCCTGGGGATACAGGATCTGACCCCCCCGCAGCTTACTGTGTACCTGCCACTGTAACACATGGCAGCGCTGGAACTCAGGGGAGGTGTGTCGTTTGATGCAGGGGTGGATCCTGTCTCCAGTTATAATTTTGATATTCTGTTCCTCACGGATCTTTCTGTATTAAATTTATTTATTTATTTTTACATATAGCATTAAAATAGTATTCATCTTGATTACCGAGTTTTTTGGTACCTGGTTAAATTTTGTGCCAGAGGCAGGTGCCTCACTTCCCTTACCCTAGTAGTGATGAAGGAAAATTCACCATTTAGCTGAATGTCCTGCCAACAAATAACTGATAAGTTTCCCACAGACAAGCACATCTCATGAGAGCCCACCCAGCTGCTTCACATAGGTGACCATGGGAATGCTGGATTTGACTGCATAACACTGTCAAAACTAGAAGCTCAAGTGTGTATTTTTGCCTGCGAGTTATGGTTTCTGATCTTTCTATAGGATAGACACTCCATCTAGTTTTCTCTCTTGTCCTACAGGTGCTTGACGTGTCCGGGGCAGACATATTGGCCAAGTCAATTGCCAACTGCCAGGTGGAACTTCTGGAAAACTGTGGACATTCAGTGGTGATGGAGAGACCCAGGAAGATGGCCAAGCTCATCGTCGACTTTTTAGCTTCTGTGCACAATACAGACAACAACAAGAAGCTGGACTGAGGCCCCACTGCAGCCTGCAATCCGCACACCGCATCCACTTCCACCTCCAAAATCTGACACGGCCACCGCTTCTCAGGGATCCTGCCCCAAAAGTGGTCAGAGTGCCAGCATCCCTGAGGAAGCCAGTCCCCTGCCCTAGTCACATCCACAGAGCTTTGGGTGCCACGAAGAAATCTCTGAGATGTTTTTCACAAAATAGAAACTCATATGGAACAAAACAAGAAAATGGAGCCTTGAAACCTACCGAGAAGTCTTCAGGTTCTTGTTGCAAAGCGGCCACCTTGAACTATAATCACTGAGAACATCATTTCTTTAAAACATTTTTTATACACTGACACTTGAGGTATTTCTGTTGCTTCAGACCTTCTCCCCTGCATGGTCAGTGGCTGTTTTAGGAGCATTAGTCCCCATTCTCCGAGCCCCTCTTGTTTATGTCCTAAGTTTTACATAGAGACCCATAAGTGAGTTCAGTCCATCAGCAGCTAGACAAGGTTGGAAAGTGGCCAGCTGCAGGAAATATTCACACACACAGGAGCACTGTTCCACCTCGCCCAGCCCTTAGAGCAGCAGAGAACATACCTGACCCGGGGTGAGTTTGATCAGCCCCACATGTCAGCTATACCATGAGTGAACTCAGACAGTCACAGTGTGAAGAGCATCTGGCAGGGTGGGTTTTCTGGAAATAATTTGTTTTTAAGAATAGGACTTGCCTGACCGGGTGTGGCTTAGTGGTTGAGCATTAGCCTAGGATCCAGGAGATCACGGTTTGATTCCTGGCCAGGGCACATGCCCAGGTTGCGGGCTCGATCCCCAATCGCGGGCATGTAGGAGGTGGCCGATCGGTGATGTTTCTATCTTTCTCCCTCTCCCTTCCGCTCTCGGAAATCAATAAAGATTTAAAAAAGAAGAAGAATGAAGCAATAATGTTCTAGACATCTATATAAATAGTCAGATTCGGGCTCTAAATAATCAGACACGCAAGCACCTCATGGACCTCTCCTATGCAGCTGTGCTACTGAAAACCCATTAACTAGTTTGTTAATGAATTCTGTGAATTCTGTGAACAGTGATGTGATTGAAAAGAAGTCTAAACAGCTGTAAGTGACCACAGTGACATGAAATAAACTTAATAAATCTAGATCAACAACACGCAGACAGTTGCTATTTCTAAGTTCCTAATTATGTGACTGGCAAATTTTTTGTTGACTGTGTTAAGAGTGTTTTAAATTAAGGCTTAAGGCTTATTCTGCTCTGGCCGGTGTGGCTCAGTTGGTTGGATGGTTATCCAGTGCACCAAAAGGCTTCAAGTTCCATCCCCAGTCAGGGCATGTGCAGAAGGCAACCAGTTGATGTTTTTCTCTCACAGTGATGTTTCTCTTCCTCCCTCCCTCTCTCCCCCTCTCCCTCTCAAATCAATAGAAACATATCCTTAGGTGAGGATTAACCAAAAAAAATAAAAAATCATGTTTACAATTTTTATTCATTTGAAATGGTGTATCAAAAACAAAGGGCAAGAGTCACCAAGCTGTTCCTTTGACCTCTTCAGTTGCATTTGGAAACCCTAAAATCCCCAGGAGTTTCACTCTTTCAAATCTTTTTACAGAGACTCTGCAGCCAACTAATTCTGGAAATAAAGTTAGATGAACTCAATAGTTTAAATTGGAACCCAGGACTTGGTCTGAATATTTTAACTTATCAGAAAAGAATGAAACATCTTAAAAACAAGGTATGAAAATGTGACATATCAAACTTGTGGGACTGCAGCTAAAGCAGTGTTCAGAGGGAATTTTATAGGCCTCGATCCACATATTAGAAAAGAAGAAAAGCTGAAAATCAGTCACTTAAGCTTCCATTTTAAGAAGCTAGAAAAGAAATAGTAAAACCTAGAAAAAAATAGAAGGAAATAATACAGAAGAGAGCAAAAATCAGTGAAATAGAAAAGAAAGTAGATAGACATCCTACTTGTTCCAATCTCTCACCTTCACCACAAGTTCCAAGCTAAGTGAAGTTATGGAAAGGGGATCAACCCTGGTGGGTCTGGGTGTTGGGAGATGGTTTCCTCAGGTCACTGGAGAGGCCCAGACCTGGGTCAGAACCTCAGATCAGCCCTGCTAGGTGCAAGAATTGTGCCCTGGGTGAACAGCAGCTCAGGATCACCTGCACAGGAGCTGCAGGGAGGGACAGTGGGTGGGGTCTGCAGCAGGACACAGCTCCTGCCTCCTCCACAATCACCAGAAAGCATTGCCTTGCCCTGGCCCGTTTGGCTCAGTGGTTAGAGCATCAGCCTGAGGATTGAAGGGTCCTGGATTCTATTCCGGGCAAGGGCCCATACCTCGGTTGTAGGCTCCATCCCGGGCCCCAGTCAGGGGCACGTGGGGGAGACAACCAATCGATGTGTCTCTCTCACATCAATGTTTCTCCCTCCCTCCCACTCTCTGAAAAGTAATGGGGAAAAATCCATGGATTTGGATGGA